AAGATATAGCGATAAAACCCTGCATGAAAACCTGGGAACAAAATATAGGCCACATAATAAATATGCAAGAATGGGAAAAAATGTGGGAAACGAAAAAATTAGTAAGAGCTACACCATACAAAGAGAATATCCTAAAAATGTTTTACAGGTGGCACTGGTCACCGGATAAAATAACAAAATGTTATAAAAATGTCTCGGATACATGCTGGAGATGTAATAATAACGTAGGAACATACTATCATATCTGGTGGAGGTGTGACAAAATAGTAAAATTTTGGAAAATGGTAAAATATTTGATAAAAGAAATTGTAGGAATAGATCTGCAGCTTAAACCGGAAAGTTACTTGCTTAATATCTTGCCAGATATAGTAAATACAGATGATAAATGTATTGTGTTATATATCCTCACGTTAAGCAGAATTCTAATAGCGAAAAAATGGAAATCAGATTTACTACCTAAAAAAGAAGAAATAATGGAAAAAATATTCGAAATAGCAGAAATGGACAGATTAAATATGATATTAGCAGAAAGAGACGATAATGTTTATAACAAAAGATGGTTTAAAGTGTATAAATGGTTTGAAAAAAATGTATAATGAACACTCCGAAACTGATTTGTACAATAAGAATGTACTCGGATTTTTATTTTTTGTTTGTTTGTTTGTTGGAAAAAGCATAAATAAATTCTTTAAAAAAAAAAAAAAAAAAAGGAACTGCCTTCGGATTTTCAGGTCCAGGGTGGGGAATGGTGATCACCTCCTCTGGGAACATCTTAGGGTATGCTCCTCTCTGCAAGTTGTCAGGCTTCAGGGGTAGGCGCTCCTAGGTGGCGACCAGTTTGCTGGGCTGCTGGTCACAAGCCAGACAGCTGGCTCAAGACCTGAGCTGGGTGACCCGCCCGAGGAAAGGGCAAGGAGGTTGGTCAAGGGAATGACACCTGCCTTGCCTGTTCCATGCTCGCTTAGCTGGTCCCTTGCCACAATGTTATGTTAAATAGTTAATAAAGTGGCCCTTGTTTACTTCCAAACTGTTGTCTGTCTTGTTATTCTGATGGGGGAGGGGCAATGTGTGGCTCATAAACCTTCATATAATCATCAAAATATTAGGATCTTGAGTTGAATGGTTCCAATATTCATTACAGTTCTCTCATGCCTCATCTGTGTTCGCCTTAAGTCTGTCTGTCCTTTACTTATAATACTTGATTATAGTGCATACATATTATGGCAGCACAACAGACGTTGCCTGGCATGTAGCAAAGGAGCATGGATAGCCTTTGCATTGATCCTTCCCCTTGGCTTCAGTCCTGCCTGTCTATATTGCCAGTGTGCACAAGCAAAATGGCTAGGTGAGTATGACTACAGAGTCATGAACATCACTGTCAGGTGCATAAGTGAGTAACTTTCTATTGACCCTCCATCTTATCTTCATAAACTCTAAATAAACTAATGGCCGCATTAGATGATGGCCAAATATTACCAACTGTTATTAATTTTGCAAGTTCAAACAATTGCATTTACAAACATATGTAATTTTATATTATTATGCATTATTTCAATTATAAGTATGGAAATCTTCCTCCATTTATTTACATCTCTAAAAGTTGTGCAAATGTGGCTATGCAAATATGTTGACTGCAAATTCAAAGCTATCAAAGACTTCTTGAAATAGATATAAAGAAATTTCTTATCGTAGATGCAAACTGCCACAGTTTCTTTCTCAGGTGATCATCTCTGATTACTGGGCTGAATGGGTAAACAAGCTATCACTGCATACAGAATGTACTGCATACAGAATGAAATCTCCAAGTTTTTAACTGTTACTGTGAAATACTACGTAAGATAAAACTGCAGCATTTGAAAGCAGATACCTGCACAATTTTCTCCAGCTACGATCAAAGTATACAAAAGATTGGGTGATGTGTGAACAGAATCCCATTTTTTCTAATAGTAAAGAGCAGATACTGGAAGGCCCAATGTGACTGGACCACAGAACGTACAGCATGATTTGCTACCACCCCCACCACCCTGTGCAGCATATTACCAACCTCAAATGAACCTCAGAGTAAGTATTTGTCTCGTGAGGAGAAACAAAGGCAAACCCTATGTTGCCTTTGTTTCACCCAGGATAAATTGCATGTGGGGGGAGGGTTAAATCCCTCTGCCTCGCTCAGCACCGGTGATCCAAATTGCAGGTTCCCATAGCTGCTGTTTACCATT